GAATACCGGCCATAGAATCAGTCATTAGTTCGTTTGCTTGCCGCTATGTGACGCATTATGCGCTATCTATCTCGTATTTAAGTTTTGATTTTGAATATAAGAACGGACTATGAATATCGCCCTATGTATATCCATACGATATCCTATGTATATCCATAAATGTACCTACATCAGCGTATATCGTATGTATGTACGTTGCATGTATATACATGGAATGTACACGAGATATATTCTATGTATATACAGGCAGCGATCTTGTTCGAATATACATTCTATGTATATCTATAAGATATCTTGTGTATATCCACAAATGTATCTACCTCAGCGTATATCGTATGTATGTACATAGTATATACAGTACATTTTGTTTCACATTATGGATATTTCATGTATATACATAGGATATCGAATGTTTACTCTGTAGTTAGAATTATTGTACTGTACTCAATTATATTTAGTTATTATTCTATTTAACAATCAGTATAGATAGCATAATTTTTTTTCACAGCTTTAATGCTATCGCAATATTTTTATAGCGAAGTTTATATATTATTATAATTAAAAAATATTTTGTATTTCAAAGAAGTATTTTGTATTTCAAATAAGATTTGGAAGTATTTTGTATTTTGTATTTTTGTAAAAACTAAAAGTATTTTGTATTTTGTAATTCAAATACTAAGATTGACAGTATTTTGTATTTTGTATTTTAAATATTTTAATGATGTATTTTGCCCAGCCCTGTATATAATATACCATTTACACGTTTTTTAAAAATCGGATTTATAAATCTACATCTCTTTGTGAATACACGTAGCGTAACAGTGCTATAACACCCGCATAAAGTGGTGTTTGTACGCCATTTTCCGTTAGTAGTTATAACTGTGGATGTTATTAAATCGGATTAGAAGCGCCGTATAAACGTAGTCATACACTAATTAATAAAAGAGAATATTTGGGAGAATAAAAAATGAATAATCGTAGTCCTTGAAAGGGCAAGTCCTCGCAAAAGAATTACTGTGTAATTACTGAGAAGTCGTTACACTTTTTCATAATAAATAATAAAATTTTTTAATCGACGACTGGAAATAAAAAATAATGTATCTTAAAAGACTCGAAAATAGCTTTCAAAAATACGGAACATGGATCTTACGATCCATCCCCCTATCTTCTATAGTTTTGAAGACTGTGAGTTTTATTTTAATAATATAGTTCTATTACTATTCACGAATGGCCCAAAATAGGCAATGTCCTATATGATAAAAAATCTCTCGTAGAAATCTATGATATCAGAAACGTTATTATCGATTTTGACCATTATATAAAAATATACATAATTTTGTTATTTATCGTAGTGTATTCTTTTATTTTAATTTCTAAGCAAATTTCAAGTGGTTTTAAACTTTTGACTGGTAGTGTATGTTTTGTAATAAATGTCACAATTTATTCTTTTTCAGTGAATTTCTGCATAGTACCACAAGCAAGTCAGGAAGATCGACTTCACTCGTTCAAAAGCTATTCTGATGTAGCGATGTTTCATTATACTGTTCCAAAAGAAGTAGAACAAGCTACATGGCAATTTGCTGCATTCATGGATAATCCTATATGCCAACCACGGAAAGTTTATATGTAAAAATAATTATTTTTTATATTTTCTTATTCTATAAAACTACATTACTATATATAATTTCATATATTATAATACTATACTATTCTATTACAAAACTATATTATTTAAATATAATATAATACTTTTCAAACATAAAAGTGACTTTTAAGTTTTAAAAGTGTGACACCACTTAGAACGAAATTACAGTGATAATCAAATGTTTGTCTTCAAATAAAGTAACTTTGATTTAATATATTCTTTTTTTAATAGTCATTAAATTCTAAGATAATTATATAATTTTGAAAGAGAAAGAAAATGATATTAGATTTCTTATAAAAAAGAAAGATGGATAAAAAATAGCGATTTCTGCCTCTGGAGTTTCTTCAAAATCTACATTCTTTTATGTTTTGACATTTGCTAAATTCTTTTCTAAAGGTTAAAATTGTCTAAATCCCGAAGAAAATTTTTAAATTCATCACTTTATGGAATGTAATCTTATGTTTCTATACTCCGTCCAGCGAAAGAATATACCCGGCTCGGACGAAAACTCGTCCGTTTCGCGCAGGTTTCCCCTCACGGAACGCTTAGAGAGCCCCCTCACTCCACATGACTGTACTGCTCGTGCAGCTTGTCAATGCTAACGCTCTCCCCACTTTGGCCGCTATGCTTCTCCTATGCGCAGAAAGAAGTATATTCTCTCGCTGGACAGTGTATATATATTCTATACTCCGTCCAGCGAGAGAATAGGTTCGATCTGCGCATAGGAGAAGTATAGCGGGCAAAGTAAAGAGAGCGTTGGCATTGACAAGCTGCACGAGCAGTACAGCGCTGTGGAGTTTGGGGGGGGGGCTTTTTAAGCGTCCCGTGAGGGAACTACTACCAACTGCTATCAACACTGATAAGTTGAAAGAGAATATTCAATAATGCATTCAGAGTATTTCTCCAGTTATGTTGGAAAGTGTATTTAACAGTTATCAAAAACTTTTGAGTTTCTGTGTCGCTTCTGTTCATTTGTTGTAAAATTGCAAATCTCTCTTTTATTCTTTTTGTCATAAAGCAGCATCTGTAAATTACATTTAATAATGAGTAATCCTAACGTAATCCTAATGCAAAACATCGTATTCTATATACGTAAGATCACAATCTGCAAAGAATAATGAATTTGAGGATTTTTTTCCGGGGTTTAGACAATTTTAACTTTCAGAAATGAGCAGCCGGATAAACTTTCGAAAAGCTATTATCTCCGATTTGGCTGATTTTCAACCTAAATACTTATTTTATCTAGTAAATAATATTCCCAAATAGATTTTTGGCGCAAATGCCTCTTTCCCCCCAGCCCCCCTTAAAGGTAAAGCTGTTTTTGTTAATTATTTCAGAAAGTATTCATTGTACAAAAAAAGTTATCAAACAAAAAATGAAGCTCATAAAAAGCTCTATAAATAAGGTCCTATACATATTTTACCTAACTTCAATATTTTAGTCGTTATTATCAGAAATCTGGAGGCAGTGTGTTTTGCCCCCCTGCGGGGGGCTTTACTATCAACAAACTATACACATAGGGTTTGGATTGAATCTCGCTTTGCGTAGAAATTCGTAAACCCATGTGGAACCTCGCTTGGCGTAGAAAATGTATGCGTGGAGGCAGTGTGTCCGCCTCTCCTACGGGGACTTTTACAAGTGTTTTGATAATAACGACTAAAATATTGAAGTTAGGTAAAATATGTATAGAACCTTATTTGTAGAGCTTTTAATGAGCTTAATTTTTTGTTTGACAACTTTTTCCATACAATAAATACTTTCTGAAATAATTAACAAAAATAGTTTTACCTTTGAGGCGGGCTGGGAGGTGGAGGGGGCATTTGCGCCAAAAATCCATTTGGGAATATTATTTACTAGATAAAATAAGTATTTAGGCTAAATATCAGCCAAATCGGAGGTGATAGCTTTTCGGAAGTCCATCCGTTTAGCCGATATCAAAACACAAGAGAATGTAAATTTTAAAAGAGCCGCTCCGGGGACATAAATCGCTACTTTTTACCAATGTTTCTTTATAAAAAAAAAATTTAGAATCAAAATTACTTTAAAAATTATTTTTTTACATAATGAAAAAAATAATTTTTTTGTCATTCTGTCATTTTGTCCTTCTATAAAATAATATAAACATAAACATTTTTTTATGGTGTTATTTCCCAGTAAACACAGAACATTGCAGCAACATTGCGGCAACGTTGCAACATTGGAGCAACGTTACAGCAATATTGCAATATTGTTGCAATGTTTTGTGTTTGCTGGGTTGATTATTTATATACATAAAACTAATAATACAAAATCAGTTAATCGATGATATTACTTGTACACAATTTTGCATTTTTTTTTGCAGTGATATGTTTTTTTTATAGATCGATTTTTGTTATTCTATTTATCCTTAACACTAAAAAGTATTAGGTATATACAAGAATTTTAGTCTTTTTTTTCTTCTCCGCTCTAGAAAACATCAAAATATATTCCCGCTCTTTTGTTTTAAAGTTTTGACATTACCCCACACAGATTTCTATATAATACTAGACTGCTAACATGCTACAATTTCTTACTTTTTTAAACTATACCCAGTAAACATTCGATATCCTATGTATATACATGAAATATCAATAATGTGAAAAAAATGTACTGTATATACTATGTACATACATATGATATACGCTGATGTAGATACATTTGTGGATATACATAGGATGTATAAGATATCTTATAGATATACATAGAATGTATGTATATTCGAACGAGATCGCTGCCTGTGTATACATAGAATATACCTTGTGTACATTCCATGTGTATATAATACATGTAACGTACATACATACGTTATACGCTGATGTAGGTACATTTATGGACTTACATAGAATCAGTCATTAGTTCGTTCGCTTGCCGCTATATGACGCATTATGCGCTATCTATCTCGTATTTAAGTTTTAATCATGAAAACTATATAAAACTTGCAAAAGGCGGGTAATAATATTGAAGTCTTCAATTTGAAGATGTAATAACTTTTTTTATTAGTTTAATATTTGAATTCCAACACAGGGAATTTAGATAAACTGATTGTTCAAAAATTGGGTAGATAAGTATCCAAATAAATGAAAATTGTTTATTATTAAGAAACGTACTGTATACTATGTACATACATAGAATGTACCTCACGTACATGCCACGAATGTGTATTGCACATCCTCGGAATATATCCTATGTACATACTGCGAACGTGCACTGCATATCCTCGGAATACACCCCATGTATATACCACGAATGTACACTGCATATCTTTAGAATATACCTATGTATGTACTATGGACATCCTATGTACATACATGTGGTAATTATTTCACATACATAGGATATGCGCTTTATATACTTTTCACATTTTTTGTATATACATAGAATATACAATATATATATAATATATGTATATACATAGGACGTACATAGAATGTCCTAATGTTTATTGGGTAGTTCGAAGTTTCCCGGGCAAGTTTCTGGCAAACGTTCTCATAATCTGGGAAAGTTCGTCTTTTTCCACGTTAGTAACAGTTTTGACGAGTGAGTCTCAGTTGTGTATAGAATAAATTAAACACAGTAGGTTAAATGAATTGGACATAGGCAGTGCTGCAAGATCGAGCATTCTGCAACATGTTCCCACCATGCGGGCACTACACAAGCGGGAACCGCACGTCACGCGTCCGTGTGCGCACGTGTCTGTATGCGTAGCATACTATATTTTGTGTCACTTCCCCAGCCTGCGACAAATGCTACGTACGATAAATGCTAAGAAGCCAAGCGTTTTTAATCGAGTCAGGTGAGTCGCTTGAATATTAGAGATTCCGTGTTCGAGACCTGCATCTTGCAACTTTTTTTGCACATCAGTTTCTAACAGTAATCAATTAAATTATTAAATAACGTTTTCGACAAAAAAGTATTATTTTATATTTATTAATAATCTTGACATATGTTAAACTTGCATTTTGTTGCAAAATTGTGAAATTATTTTTTATTTTTCTATTGACAAGTCATAGCAAATCAATATTTTTTTTTATAGTTATTAATTCAACATATACAAATATTTTTATTAATTTTTTTTTTTTTTTTATTGACTCCAAGCGAATTTACAATCTGTCTTTGTATGACATTAAGTAAATTTTTTATTTTATTGTTTAATAACGTGTAGGAGTATTCCCTGCGAAATACATTCCTTCATATACACAATTATTTTAACTCCAGATTTTGCTAATTTTCTATCTACTTAGTTGTGTTTATTTGTTGAATCTAAGGCTTATGCCTCTTAAGTCTTCGTTTGTCCTCAGTTTCAGTTAGCAGCTTATTCGCAAGTTGGTTTGGATGTGCGTTCAATCTTAAGGCGTATTTTGAGGCGTAATTTACTATTACTTTTTTAACAGTTTCTATATTCAGATCACGCCTGATAATTTCGTTTGATACGAACCACGGGGCTACTATTATTCTACTATTATTCTTAGAGTTTTAGATTGGAACCTCTCCAATATTTCTGTTTGAATTTGAGGCAGAGCCCCATAATTGAATGCCGTATGTCCATATAGGCATGATAATTGTTTTGTACAGGAGTACTTTGTTATACATTGAGAGTTTTGACTTCCGGGCAAGTAACCAGTATATGTTTCTGAGCTTGCTGCCCAACTGCTTCCTTTTTTGCCATATATGTGTCTTCCATGTAAGTCTTCGGTCTAGGTGAATTCCTAAGTATTTCGCTGAATCTGCTTGAGGTATCTCGGTATTATTTAACTTTATCGACGGACATGAGTCTTTGTTCAGTGTAAATGTAACATGCACCGATTTATTTTCATTAGCCTTAATTCGTCATGTTTTGAGCCAGATTTGTATTTTAGAGATATTTTCCTGAAGAATCCTCGACGCTTCCTTAGGATTACTATGTGATGCTAAGATAGTTGTGTTGTCCGCAAATGTTCCCGTTAGAGTTTGTTCCGTAGTTGGT